TATATAAATATAAGATCAAAGAGGCGATCGACTGGCAAGCCGATATAGCAATACTGGCCGATGTCGTTGCCAGCTGATGTCAGCCATCTCTAGCATCATACTTATTAGGATATGGTTTTTCATCTCTCTAGTAAATATCTCGTAACTTGCACATCATCTACTCCCTCCATTTTAGGTTATAAGATGTTTCAAAGTCAAACTGTTTTAAGTTTAAACAAGTAATTTATATAAAAAAATAGTAGGGGCAATTCCATCCATGTCCACACTTTCAAAACCAATTGTTGTTTTACCCCCGCTTTTTAGGGTTTGCAGTTTTACCCCTACTTTTTAAATCTGAATTAGCCGTCTAGCCTCACTTGTAACGGCCGTTTGGTGGGACCCACAATTTATGTTAAAGAAATACAAAACGAAATAAAACAAAGGTTGAGTCTGTGTCCTCCACCCCGTGCGTCGGTCCCTAGCGGCGAGTGCGTGTGCGTGGCGCAGCGGCGGCGGCCGCCGCGAGGGCGCGCGCGAGGCGGCAGAGGCGGGGAGGGCGTGCGCGAGGCGGCGGCCGCGGCCGCGGCGAGGGCGGGCGGGAGCGCGTGCCGCTCACAGGCGGTACCCAGCCGGAGGGCGGGCACGCGCGCGCGCCGCTCCCAGGCGTAACCAAGCCGGCAGCCGCGGCTCTGCCATGAATCGATGATGCTGCTCCTGCTTCGGTTGCGGCAAGTTAGGCGGTCGGTGGTCGAAGTCGAACCCACTACCGCTGCCGCTGCCAGAACGGCTGGATTGGTGGCCATGTGTTCTCCAGCGTTTGGTGCGTTGGTCATCAACCGCTTCTGCTGCTGAGGAAGCAGGTCACCGGTGCTTGTTCGTGGACACTTTGTAATGCTTGCTATATATCGACTGTGCTAGTTGTATCAAAATTATATCGAAATGTTGTTGAAATTTTGTTCAAATTTTGTAATTGCCTAGTATTTATGATTTTTTTTTGTTAAAGTACTAAAACATCACAAGAGATGCTCTTATTTGAATTATTTATAACAATCACACAAGCTGAAATCACGAAATAGGAGCAAAATCATACCAAGCTCAAAAAATAGGGGCAAAAATACAATAATCGCCAAGGGTATAAATGTCATTTTCTCTACCTCTAACACCGTTAAAACCAGCTATTATAAATGGGGGTAGACGGCTTATTCAGATTCAAAAAGTGGGGGTAAAACTGCAAACCCTAAAAAATGAGGGTAAAACAACAATATGCTTTGAAAGTGGGGGTATGGATGCAATTGTCCCAAAATAGTAATATTTTTGACCCAAGATAAATTTATTATAAAACTATATTTAATTATTAATTTAATAAAACTAATTTGGTAATGTAAATATTACTATATTTGTCTATAACCTTAGTTAAATTTAAAGCAGTTTGACTTTAACCAAAGTTAAAACATGTTATAACCTGAAACGGAGAGAGTATTTCAGAGAAAAATACTTTAATAGTCCGGCTTAAGAACAGGTTAGTACTAAACAGCAAACAACTCCTACTAATTAAGCATTAGAAACAGAATTACTGAAGCTTTTCCATTCTTTAGGAGGAAAGAAACTGTCTTAGATTGAGTGGCCTAGAAGCTAAACTGTAAACGTATATACTTTTGTCTTGCTCTTGAGAAATTCAGAGATATTAACATGTTCTCTCTCTATATAATTTTACTACGTCAATTATCATGCTTCTTCAGTCCTACTTGGTGTTAATTTCATTATCATTTCACAGTCTATATAAAACACACTACTACAAAAACAATTTTTCATAGCACCATCCTTTTATTTTTACTGATCGGTTTAATGACTACACACTTGTAAAGATACTTGAGAGAGATTCCGGTCATCATTTTCACTGGCTGTCACTTAAGAGATCCACTTGCAAAAATACCTCACTAGCGAAAATTGGACGGCGTATAAGGAGCACCGATTGAAAAAAAAGTCGCTATATTAAAAAATCACCCATCTCACCCCTCCTAAAACTTCATCTCCTCTTCCCCAATCTCACCCCCTCCCCAACCCCCACACCCTCAGCCTCTCCTCTTCATCTCAACAGCGACGGCGACTCAAGGGGTGCGGGCGGTGGACCTGGCCATCGGAGTGCTACGGGTAGCTAACCCAACCGCGGGAGGGGCGTGGGCGGTAGACCTGGCCACCGGAGTGTCACGGATGGTGGATTCAGCCGTGGGAGGGGCACGGGCAACGGATCCGTGGCCGGGAGGTGGGCAGCAGCGGTGACGGTGGAGGGGACGAATCCAGTGGTGAGCGATGCTTGAGATTGCTAGATACGCCTCCTCGACAGTGAAGAAGTGGGGCGGTTGCGGTGGATCTGGCGAAGGTTGCCACGACGATGATGACGACAGCTGGTCCTTGAGAAGGTTTCGGCGGCTCCTCCACCCACTCCTCTCTCCTAGATCCAGTAGGCGGCAGCTCAGGGCCATGGCGGTGGATCCGGAGGCCTGGGGTGGTGAGGTCACCATAGGCGGTTAAGCTCGGTCGTGGGAGGTGGGCGGCGGATCCTGTGATGGCTCAGTGCACGGGCGGTGCATCTGGTGGCGAAGCTCAGGCGTGGGCGGCGGATTTAGGGAGCTCCAGATCCTTTGGGTGGCGGCGGTGCTCGGTCTTCGTCTCGGTGATGGCGACGATTACCGGGAGCGACAACGATCCACCGGTTAGTTCGTTTGGAGATGGGGACTGATCCAATTGAAAACCCGTGAATAGAAATTTGTGATTGTAAATTGTGATGATTTATGGATTTGTTAACTTTGGGAATAATATATGTGGAATTTTTTTAACTTTGAGGATAACTTATGTGGATTTTGGCATTGATGAGCGGATTCTTTTTTGGTGCTGATGGTTGTGGAACGAGTGGTGTCGCTCTGTCATTTTTTCAGGACTCGCCAGTATTATCGTAGGCAAACAATATGACGTAGCCGCTTCTGCAAATTCATTTTTACCGGAGGCTACCATATGAAGACCGCTAGCGAAAATGGATTGGCGCTGGCAGTTGGCGTAATATTTAATTATCACAGGCCTACTTTGGTTGCCATAAAAAATCATTCTTATAGTAGTGACATTCCCATCACTTTCCAATAATTAAACGCTTGCAAGCATAGTAGATTTTTATGGTTGTAATTTACTCCCTCTGGTCATAAACATTGACGTTTAGGATAAGATCTTTAAATTTTTACCTTCAACTTTACATTAGAACAAATAAGTTTTCTGCATCATGCTAAATTGAATTTTAGAATTAGAACACCAATCTCTATCAAACAACGGGAGTATAATTTTTAGTTTTTGTTTCCATAGATGCAAATCCTACTTTATATGGAACAGATTTGGCATACAATTCACAACTCCCCTCCCCTATCTTTTGAATTGTATTTTGCACATAATTATATCATTTTGATTAATATACAACTTTATAAACCTGGATTTACCACGATCTCATGGTAATTTTGTTTCTTTTCCTCCTTTTACTTTGATTAACATGAGAATAATTTATAGACCTTTAGAACGAACTTGTAGTATCTCTTTTTAGCCGTCCTAAAAATATATATCAGATAAATTTATAGAATCTAATAAGATTATGATATTATTTTTCAAGAAAAATCTATGCATACCCTTCTTTTCACTAAGTACTATTGTATAATACTGATTTCAGAAGTCATTTGATCGAATCTTATACTGAACATCAAATATCATTAGTGGAAGGAAATCCGATCTTACTATGAAGTTACAACCCACTAAATTTTAAAGCTTAACATGCAAAGATACCACATCATTATCCACTAACAAACCCACTAAATTCTAAATCTCAACATACAAAGATATCACATCATCATCCACTAACAATTATTACACCTTAAAACATCATACCAATATGCTATATTATCTATAATTCTATAATTTATTATATTTTAGAGTTTTAAAATGCAAGCATGTTAATATTTCAATATATCTTCATCGTTTTTTTATAATATCCTATATACCTATATAGTTCATCATCAGTTAGTTAATGTAGTTATTTTTTTTTCTCTCATTAAGTTATATTACAGCAATTGTTTTTAGCACTTAGATGATTAATCTGTGGTTAAAATTACCGACTTCATTTTCTTCTCTCATTAAGCCATATCACATCAATTGTTTTTGGCCCTTAGATGATTTATCTATGGTCCAAATTACCTACCTTCTTTTCTTCTTTCATAAAGCTACAACATCTTATTTTTACATTTGAATCATCATTATATATGCTACTTAAATTATCATAAACTATATCAATTTACATAAGTTTATATCATCTATCTATCTTATACATTATTTATACTAATTAATATCATACTAAACTCCCGCAGCAACGCTCGGGGTTTCATCTAGAACTATTTAATGTGTGCATGCATATATGCCATTTGCATTTAACTATTTTTCGTAATTCTAAAAGTACGAGTTTCTTGTACTTATTGCTTTTCTAAGGTAAATTGTAGGGCACAACATCTTAGCGACTAAGATACAATTCAAAATAATAAATTGAAAATTGCACAGTTTTATTGTAATAACTTGATAAATGGGTGTTAATTAGCTTGTGGATGAAATCCCAAGAATCACGCTTTCGAGTGACAAATGAGTTGGTTTACGAGATGGTTAGGCAATGATATAAGGTGTAGCGAATTCTTAAAATACAAGCGTGTTATGGCTTCGTGTGACGAATGACAAATGGGTGTGTTAGCTTGATTCAACAAGTATTACGGCCGGTTGATCATAAATTTTCCATAGGCCGGGCCAGGTAAACACATGCGCATAAATTACTCTAGGTCGTCGTCGTTTGCACACTCTGAATACAAGGAATTACATCATAGTAATGAGCCGGCAGGGTGGCTACCTGAGGTCATCGCGAGACCTAATTGGATCCTCCCCTGATATTCATTTGGTAGCACTCTCTGAAGGAGTCATAAACTCATAACAAGTATGGTAGATAGATATATATCTATAGAAGCATTATTATAACGCATTTTATTATAGATCAGCACAAATTACAATACTACAATACCTGACACGACCCTACGACTGACGACACCAAAGGCACGGATTGTTGCGTACGTATAGCCCTTGTATAAGAGCATATACATAGTAGCACTAGCCGTGTGTACACATGTACACACAGCAGAGATCGATGCAATCCTTTATTGACCAAAGCAAACAACTATAGGGAGAAGTAGCTGGACAAGCACATCGTCATTCATGTATATATAGCAGATATATATTTGTATAAGGTTTACGTGCGTTTAATTTGCCATCGATCCATTCATCGTCTTCATGAGCAGCACGAATGGCACTTGCCCCATTTACAGCATGGACCGCTGTCGCCGCTGCAGTACTCGTAGCACTTGTCATAGTGGCAGCAGCCTTTACACTTGCAAGGCCCGCACTTCTTGCCGTCATGATCGCCGTGATCTGCATAGATGGGATCTCGAATAATTAAGCTTATTACACGGAAATTGATTCATGTATATGGTGATACGGAGAGACTGCTCCACACCTCCACCTCCATCTGATCTTTTGGAGCTACAGTCCACCTAAACAGTTTCAGCTCTACCTATTTCCTCCATCCCTAAATATAAGGGGTTTTGGTTGGATGTAACGTATTCTATAGTACAATGATTCTGGATATGGAAGTCTGTCCAGATTCGTTATACTAGGATGTACCACATACAACCAAAATCTCTTATATTTAGAAACTGAGGGAGTAAAATAGAAGCGGAGCTGGGTGGACCGCTCTTACAAAATAAACTAAAAATGTGAAGATGGGTTTAGGCTGCTCTACAACTTCACTCCAGACCCAACTCTTAGAGTTAAATTTATTAGTTGAAACTCTACCAAATCGACCTGGAGTATATTATTATATAATGTGTGTGTACATATATATATATATATATATATATATATATATATATATATATATGTATATATGTATATATGTATGTATATGTATATGTATATGTATATGTATATGTATATGTATATAGGTAAATTAACTGGTGCTACATGGAGTGTGGGCTCCAAGATTCAAATTGAGTATATACCCAATTTGAATTAGTATGAAATTTTTTTAAATGTTTAGATATGAACATTAACTTCTTTACTAACAGGTTCAAACAAGTTTGAACTGAGTTTAAACTTTTTTTTTTTGTTAGATTTTGGTTCTAGGTATATAACATCCAAACATATAATTTGTTAGGTATGTAATAATGAATTGTGAAATAAAGTTGAGTTTGAGTGGTTTTGTTGTTAGGTATTTGTATGAATCAAATTCATATACCTAGGTATATACTCACAATTTGAAAATTTTTAAAAATTTGAGAGAATTTGTGTGTTTTATACCTTAGAGCCCGGGCACCATGGAGTCCCATATGTGTATCCTATATATATATATACGTATATACACATATGTATATGTGTATATAAGTATATATACATATATGTATATCTGTATATACACATATACATATATGTATATGTGTATATATGTATATGTGTATATACACATATACATATATGTATATATACGTGTATATATATATACGTATATACGTATATACGTATATATATATATATATACATATATACATATATACATATATATATATATACACGTATATATGCGCGTACCAAAAAAAACGCATATATATACATCATATATATACACCAGAAAAGAGAGGAAAGATAGAAACGCATACCACAAAAACATCAAAGCATCATGAGCAAGTGTTAAGCAATGCAAGTAGAAGCTAATATCGAACACGAAGGTATATTATAATCTCTCTCCGTCTCATTGTAAGTGCATATATGGTTTTCTGCGTTCAACTTTGGCCGTCCGTTTTATTTGAAAAAAAAAGTAAAAACATAAGTCGCGAGTAAAGTATTATTCATGTTTTATCATCTCATAAGAAAACAAAAATACTAATTATAAAAAAAATTAAATAAGACGAATGATCAAGGTTGGATGCGGAAACTGATGGTAGCACCTAAAACGGGACGGAGGGAGTATTATATACGTATTGATGAGTATCGATCGATTAAATATTCGATGTTAGTTCGAGTTTAATTATTCCTTGATGTTATAAACTGAATTATGCATATGTATATATGTAGTGTAGATAGTGGTCATTACCGGCAGAGGCGACGTCGACGATGGCAGATGCAGCCACCAGCATCAGGAGAGTGAACACAACGAAAGCCTTGTTGGACGCCATTTTTGCAAGCTAGCTAGTTGATTAATCAGCTCCCTCGATCTCACTTACGATCATGTGTTTTGTGTAGTAGATGGCATGCGTGAACTTGGCCTATTTATAGGCGGAAAATGGCTTCTGTTCCAAGGTACGATCAGCCTTTAGTCGATCCCGTTGACGTTATCACACATGGACCGATTCATGGCGAAGAAATATTAAGTTGACTGTACGTAGCATTCGTACGACATTAATTAGTGTGTGATTATTTTTAGTCAGCTAGTTCAGAACGCACGGCGTCTATGTGATAAGTTGTGCTTAGTGCGTATTGTAATTAAACCTTACTCCCTCTGTCTCTAAATATTTAACGCTATTGATTTTTTTAAATATATTTGACCGTTTATCTTAATAAAAAACTTTTCTGTAATATAAAAAACTATATATATATACATAAGGAAAAAGAACGAATTACCCCCCTAAACAATCATGACAGTACGAATTACCCCCTAATCTCAAAACCAGACATTTGATACTCTAAACTATTGAAACCGGATAAATTACCCTCTTGGCTCAACCCGGAGTGGTTTTGCTCCTATGTGGTACACACGTGGCACCAGGGTGGCGATCCAATCACAAAGAAATGTTTAGAAACTATGGGCCCACTTGTCATCTACTCCTACCTCACCCCTCTCTCTCTCTTCTCTCTCATCCGCTAGGGGGCACAGCGGGCACGCCAAGGAGGGCGGGCGGCGACGGCGAACGCGAAGCACAGTGTCAGCGACCGCGTCCGCAGCAGCGACGCACAAGTCACCCAAGATGGAGCTTTGCAGGAGGCGGACGGCTGCAGTGTGGTTCAGGGTGAGTGATGTCTAGTTTTCAGGTTCAGGGACGAAATTCGGCTGACGACGATAGTTCAGGGGTGTAATTAGTATTTTTTTAAAATGATAGAAAAAGAATTAATAATTACTTAATTTTTTTAATAAGACGAACTGTCAAACATGCACTAACTAGACATATTTATAGGTGTAAATGAATCTATGAGCCAGGTCCATTTGAGTATAGGAAAGGTTTATGTCCTGTTTAGTTCCCACATAAAAATTTTACACCCTATCACATCGAACGTTTGAGCACGTGCATGAGGTATTAAATATAGGCCAAAAAATAACTAATTACACAGATTACGACTAATTTACGAGACGAATCTTTTAAGTCTAATTGCTCCATGATTTGACAATGTGGTGCTACAATAAACATTTGCGAATGACGGATTAATTAGACTTAATAAATTAGTCTCGCTGTTTACTGACGGATTCTGTAATTAGTTTTTTTATTAGTGCCTGAATACCACATGCGACACCCTATATAATACCCGATGTGACACGTCAAAACTTTACACTCCTGTATTTAAACAATCCCTTAGTTTAGTGCCAGTTGGCATTATCATATTCATAACGACCGACTCAATGGTGAAGAAATTTTAAGTTTGACTCCATAGAATTCATTCGACGTTAATTAGTGCCATCTGAGCCGTCAGGTTGAAAAGCACTCACGGCATATTATATGTATGATGCAAACATGCTTACTGTATTGAAATATATGACACAGGACTGATCTACAAAAGTAAAACTAGATAATGAACTGCACCAATGCTAATGAATTACAACATATTCGGTAAAAAGAATATCATTAGTATATGCTATATGAAAATGTCAAATTTCTCTAGGAATAGGCCAGTTAGCGTACACGTGAGCATGGAACACAACTAAGTCAGCGAGAGCTCCATATTAGCTGGGGAATATATACGTCTAGCTATCGGCACTGCAATCTAGCACCACCTATCACCATGCTGGCAGATCTTAGTAAAACCTACAAAAAATCTCATGTAAAGGTTCCACGAAATTGAAGAGTTGACATTAAGTTTGATTGCTGTGGGTTTGTTTGTTGAAAGTTTCTTATACTGAATGGGAAGTGTATTACTTTAATTGAAAGTTTCCAATCAATCTGAACAGAAGAAGTTGTACACTGGATAAGAAGTTGTCAATTCCCCGTAACCATTTTTTTCCCTCGTGATGAACGTACTTGTTGCTGTAGGTTTTATTGGTGAATGTTTTCCCTCGTGGATCTTACTGAATACTCCATCTATCCCAAAATATATAAATAAATTTGGTTGGATGGGACACATCCTAACACTATGAATCTGGACAGGCTTCACTGCTCATATTCGTAGCATTCTCATCCAACCAAAATCGTTTATATTTTAGAATGAAATGAGTATATATAGTTTACCCTTGATCTTGATGTAACAGCAGATGTGATTATGTTGGTGGCATAGCTAGCAGCTTATTGAGATCTCATAGCATTTGCTCCCTCATGTGAATATAGAGTGAATTGCCTTAAGCTTTTGGGTTAAACTGGTCGGTGCATGTAACTCAATATAGTATCAGAGCTAGAAATCTCAAGTTCGAATCCTGACTAACGCATAATTAAATAAAAATTGCAGCACACTTCTATTGCACGCTAGAGGCTTGAGGGGGCCTTGTGTGAGGGGTTTGTTAGACAAATGTATATCCAGATTCATAGTAGTAGGATGTGTCACATTCAATGCTAGATTGGTTTTTTTATAGGACAGAGTGAGTAGATTGTTGTTGCATCAACAAGCCGAGAAAATATATATAATTCTAGCTTCGTTAGGCACTGTCAGGGGCTCAAAGTTTATGAGTGAAATCCGGCTTTGGCAATCTTTAGCGGATCAAGGCACGCGACGAGGGAAGCCCGAAGCCGAGGTTGCTGGCAATGCCTACAAAGTTGGAAGTCGGGGACGAAAGAAGAAGCAGCAGCTTGGGGCACAGGAGGTCGTCGATCGCCATCATACCCAGGTTCTCATATTTACGGTTAATTATGAGATAATATATCCACCAACAATAAAATATTTATGATAACTTCGTTACTCTCAAAGTATGCCGGCGATAGCAGAAACACCTCGACATCACACCGGTCTTTGTGGGCATCGTAACGAAGCCTTGAATTGGATATGTTCGATCTCGATGGATATGGATGCCGCTGGCCCATCACAGTAGGCCCATTTTAAGGCCATTGCCTGACAAAACACAACAATCCATTTGGGTCCTCAGCTGGGTTGAAACCATTTGGCCAATCGTTACAATAAGTCCACTTTGACTCCCTGAAAAGTGACCGGAATCTAATTGATGACCCTAAACCGCAAAACCGGATATCTCAACCCCTAAACTATTGAAACCGGTGCAATTTGACTCCCTCGGCGGTTTTGAGGGCGGTTTCGCTGACGTGGCGGCGATGCGGATTTGCGGATGGATGCGGGGAGTCAAAACCGCCAAGGGAGTCAAATTGCACCGGTTTCAACAGTTTAGGGGTTGAGATATCCGGTTTTACGGTTTAGGATTATGAATTAGATTCCGGTCACTTTTTAGGGAGTCAAAGTGGACTTATTCCCCAATCGTTCGTTGGGGGAATAAGTTCACAGGAGGTCCCTCAACAACGTGATTTTTTTTAAGGTCCCTTAACTACAAAATCAGAAATGTGTACCCCTAAACTCACTCAAACCGTTCAAAGGAGGTCCCTTGGCAGTATTTTTGCCCGGTTTTGCTGATGTGGCATCGTAGTCAGCAAAAATTTTAAAAAAATGTAGGACCCACTTGTAAGTGAGAAAAATGTGGGATCAACCATCCTAGTTAGCAATCTTCTTCTTTTTTCCTTTTTCTCTTCTTCTCTTTCGGTTTTAGAGGGGGAGCGGCAACGGCACGTGGTCGGAGGCAAGCAGAGCAGCGGCGTCGGCGGGCAGGCGCGGCTGCAGAGTGTCGGTGGCGGCAGGCGGCGAAAAGCGGCGAGCGAGCGTGGTCGTAGAGGGCGAGCGGCAGCGAGCGGCGGTGCGCGGCCGAAGCAGGCGGAGAGGTGGCGTCAGCACGCGGCCGAAGCAGGCGGAGAGGTGGCGTCAGCACGCGGCCGGAGCAAGCGGAGCGGCGGCGTCAGCTGGCGAGCGCAGCTGCGGCAAGTGGCAGGTGAGCGGCTGCTCCGGGCGCGGGCGGAGCAGAGGGGCAGGGGACGCGGGGGCATGGCGGGCGAGCGGCGGCGAGGTGCCGCCTCTTTCCCCTTTCCCGCCGGCCTCATCTTCCCCCACTTTGCCCGGCCTCTTCTCCCTCTCTCCAACAGGGCGCGGGGATAAGAAGTACAGTCGTTGTCGTGAAGCCGTGAAGCCGCTCGCGTGCAGTGCGCTCACATCGTTGCCGTGAAGCCGCTTGCGTGCAGCGCCCCGCATCATACCGCTCCGCGCTGCTCGTCCACCGCCACCGCCGCCGCCGGTACGCGCTGCCCCCGGTTGCTGCCGCCACCACCTCAAAGCCCATCCTTAAGGTACGTAGGGGGATCGGCAGCTGGCAGCGGGTGAGAGTGGCGACAGCGGCAGGGGAGGTCGGCCGCTCTACCCACAGCCCACCGCCGCTCCGCCCGCCACCCGTTGCCGGGCTCGCTTACCGCCAGCCTCCTAGGCCCACCGGCTCTCCGCCCACCGCCCACATCCGCGCTTGCCCATCGCTGCCCGCCGTTAGCAAAGAGAGAAGAGAGAAACGAGAAGAGAAGGAGAAGAAAAGAAAAGAAAAAAAATGTGCAGCTGCCATGTGGGCCCCACATAATTTTTTAAAATTTTTTTGCTGACTAGGATGCCATGTCAGCAAAACCGGACAAAAATACTGCCATCGGACCTCCTTTGAAGAGTTTGAGTGAGATTAAGGGTGCACATTTCTGGTTTTATGGTTAAGAGACCTAAAAAATTCTTGCCGTTAAGTTGAGCGACCTCCGGTGAACTTATAGTTGGGTAGCTACCAATCCAACCTGGCCCATCAGAATTTGGGTCGGTACTAATGGTACCTGTTCAATTTGGCCCATTAGAATCTTTAACTTGTTTACCATCGGATCCAATTAGCCCATTAGATCTCGATTTAAGAAAGGGAATGAGTTCACTTTAGGTCCCTATATTTGTCGCCCAGTCTGATTTTCATCGCTGAACCGTAAAACCGGATACAACGCATCCCTCAACTTACAAAACCAGT